AAAAATTTAAACACATATCCCTAAAGTTTTCAAACACATCACTAAGCAAATAAACATCTGTCATCAAATATAAATCATGGTATTCACCTAGGTTTTTGATATTGAAATTATCCCATATTACTTTTGCCCTTGTGTGTTGTGTATCTGTTATACCTTCTTCATATAATTTACTGTAAAAGTCTTCTATATTCGGTAATTGCGATTCATTGAATTTATCAAATGAATTCATGTAGTCGTAAGGATAAACTCCTTTTTCAGTTAATAAGTCTAAATCGGTTTTATTTCTAATATATGGATTTGCTGATGAAAATCGGAAATTATCCTTCCAGTCATTCCGCTTTTTATATATAGGTTTATCATGTTCATCTTTACCTACTATGTCATATTTATTTAACTTAACTAATTTATCCAAAGATGCTGAGAGAAAAGCCATGCTATCTTTAAACTGTAATGAACCAAATGAAAATGTAATAAACTTTTCGCTATTTTGTGCTATTACATCTATTCTCTTATTTTCGTTCAATTCCTTATTTATTTCATTTGCTTTGCCTATTATTAAGTGAGAGTCATAGTTTTTTAAATTATGAAAAAATACTGGTATCTTGAAATATCTAAATGAATAATCCAAATTACATTTTTCGTGAGCACAACCTAAATACTCACCAGTAAAATGACAGTGGTCACGAACCTTTCTTCCTTTGGAAGAAAGGGTAGTCTCGTGAGCCTCTGGCGAGGCGTCTCTGACTTTTGTATCTTCTGGTTTAAAATTCTTATTACATATTGAACATACAGTAGCTTTTCTAAATTCTGCTTCTTGTTCATCTGTAATATCCATTGGTTTATTAACATTCATTTTATCAAAAATATCTTTTTTAATTTCTCTTAATTTATTTACAAAGTGGTCTAAACAATCCTCTCCACGGTATAAAAAAGGTTGACTTGTATTATCAATAGAATTTACAACATTCAACATATAACCGCATGGTTTATGTTCCTGATACGTGCCCTTGATGCCATTATTTGAATTTACAGTTATACACTCAAAATCTCCATAAACAACAAATGGACATTTTAATTTTGTATTGTATTTTTCAAATTCAATATAACTACCTTCTTTTGGTAATTTAAACTGTTGTCCATGTGTTGCCATACAACCAGTTTCATAATGTTTTGTTAATAAATCCTTTCTAGTAAAGGCATGAGAACAATAATGACAATAATGTTTTGGTTGGTCATTTTTGTTTGTTTGCCAGTTCATTAAACGACTTAGACTTTTAATAACTACATAATGATTATTATTATTGATTTCAATTTTCAAAAGGTTTATTTGATGTTTAGCATCTCTTGTTTTAGTTCTGTAATCAATTATAATTTTCTTTTCATTCAAAGTATCATCAATTTCATAAACATTGATTGAAACTAACTTACTATTATTTTCTTCAAACCTTTCAATATCTTTATTACCAGTTGGAAATTTAACACCTTCCCAGTTTAAGATATTGTCATTTAATTTGTTGTAATGGAACATTTCTTGGGAATTTGATTTATTAATTATATCAAACACTACACTTTGAACACTATATTTAAAACATTTGTTATCTTTGTTTTTGATATTAATACATGCCTTTTTTAGTTTAATCCATTCTGGTAAATCTATATAACTACCCGCCCTAGTTGGGTCATATTTGTCATAATGGATTGTTATTGATAATATTTTTTTAAATTGTAAATTAGACGCTGAACCTTCTAGTTTCTCTATGTTCAATAAAATCTCTTTGATTGATTTTTCAATTGCTTCATCCAAATCGGTTTCATTATATATGTTTGCCCTTGTTGCAGGTAAATTATAAAGTATCTCTGTATGTTTTATTACTCCATCATCATCATAATAATGATAAAATAAACCTTCTGCCCTTATATTCAGTTTCATTGCTCTATTAGTTTTCAAAAAGGTCAAAAGTCTATCTTTTTGGTGGTGTATCATTGATAGTGCCTTTTCACCTTGAAAATGTTTATTTACTAGTTTTATAGAATTAGCATAACTTTTGAAAGCTGATTGTTGGTCTGTTACTTGGAATTTATTTTTGATTGCATATTTTGTCATTGCATTTTTCATTCTTTGTTTTAGGTATGTTGAGCGCAATGTTTTTGTTGCATAACTATTATACTCATTAGTTCTTGCTTCTGATTTTAATTTCTTGTTCAAAACATTTGAGATGGGTTTTTCTTTGTTGTATCTAAATTTTCTACCATCTATAATTATTGATTTTAATTCCTTGTTTCCTCTTTTTGGAATTTCCGCTTTATCATTATTCAACAGATAATCTATAACATGTTTCATAATACTATACTATATAAATTTAATGTGTTTATTTCTTTAAGTGGCTTTTTAGAAAAATATACTTAAAGATTTAATACCTTAATATATTATAAATAGAAATGGTTGAATTTACTAAAAAAGAGCAAGAAGAAATTATTAATGACTTTTTGAATAAAATAAAAGTTAATGACATTATCAGTAGTTGTAAATGTAAACTAATAAATGAAAAAACTGGACTAACTAAGTTAAATTTACCTAATCCAATTGTTAAAAACATTTGTGATTTTAATTATGTTGAATGCGAGAAATGTTTTTTATTAAGAAATGCAAAGCAAGTTTTACATAAAAGTAATTTACATTCAACATTGAGACAATGTATTTATGATAAATACAAATTGAAATTTGAAGAAAATACATTTCTAAATGATGACTCATCATTAAGAACATATTGTTTTATAAAGTTAAATACATTTCCTACATATGAAAAAGTGAAAAAATATATACTGCAAGATAACGAAACATATATTTTAAAATTTTATAATGATATTAAATATTACTACGAAAAATCATATGAAGTTAGTTATGGTGGCAAAACTGGAACAACAAGACCAATTGAAGAATTTAATAATAAAATGATATTTAAATTTATTGATGAGTATGATTTATCAAATAATAAAATTGAAAATGATTGCAAGGAAACATTTTTAAACTACATAAAACAAAGAAACCAAGAATTGAAAATCATAATTGATAAAATATGTGATTATATTAAGGATGAACAGAAGAACAATATAATAGGTAAATTAATGTATGGTGATGTGATAAATGATATTAAAAGTGTTTTAGGAAACTGGGGCATAGATTTTTGCATTTATGATTTTGCTGATAGAAAATATCCATTTAAAAATAATAAAAAGAACTTTAAACAAATACCAAAGATTACAAAGGAATATTTAAATACTAATGACTTTGATTAAAACCATACTATAATAATAACATGTAAAATCTTATATGTTATAATTATATTGAACTTATGGTTTGTTTCTTATTTTTCTTAATGCCTTAAAAATGACTTAAAGAAATAGTGCCTTAATATAATAAGAGGAAAATGAATGGTGATAAAATCAATAATTATATCAATAAAAAATGCTATGATTGTTGTCACTTCAAAAAAGAAAATATGGAATTGTATAAATTAAATTTACCTAATGAAATAGTGAATAATATTATTAATTATTCAATGGATGAAAAAGTCGAATGTGAAAATTGCCAGGAATGGAGAGATAATCAATTTTTAATCAAATGTCTGTTGAGAATAAAAGGAAGACATAATAGAAATGTAGAAGATGAGATTTTAATATTTCTAACTGTAAATAAAATACCACCTTATGATTATGTTAAACAGTTTCTTAAAATCAGTAAGAAAAAATATGACATGATTTATGATATATTATGGATGTTGGGATATAGTCAAGAGAAAGGAGAAGATGTTAAAGAAAATATCAAATTATTTATTGAAAGTAAAAAGTTTAATATTCAAAATACATTGAGAGATATTAATATTATTTTTAAAATGATGTATGAAAGAAGTAAGACAAATCAATTAAATTATTATCCTGTACTGAAATTATAATCATACTATAATAATAACATGTAAAATTTTATATGTTATAATTATACTGAACTTATGGTTTGTAAAGATTGAAATATTTTAATTTTCCTTAATTTGCTTGACTCTTTCAAAGTGCGTTGTTTGAACTTGGCATGCTCTTTTGATTTTTTCGTGCTTTGGCTGTTTGTATTTTATTTTGTTTGATACTCTTCTGATATTTTTTGTTGGTATGTTGCTTTGCTTTTTGTTGATGTGTGTGTTTGAGTTTGTGTTCTTTGATGGTTTTTATTTTTGCTGTTTTGTTGGTATGCTTGTTTGAATTATTTAATGTTTTATGCTTTGATTAAATATTTTGTTGGGTGTTGTTCTGGTTTTTGAGTTGCTTGGTGGTTCTTATCTTGTTTTCTGTGAATTTTGCTGATTTTGTTGTATGCTGTTTGATTTTTTGGTTTTCAGGCTAGAAGTGCCATTTTATGTATTTTTTCCCACACCCCCCCCCCCCCCCCCCCCCCCCCCCCCCCCCCCCCCCCCCCCCCCCCCCCCCCCCCCCCCCCCAAATCCAGAATTCCAGAAATCCAGAAATCCAGAGATCCAGAAATCCAGAAATCCAGCCGACGTAGAAACCAGCCCCAAGGGCTGCCCCAAGGGACATATAGGTTATATATATATATATACATAATCATATTCACATTAAACTTATAGAAAGCATATCAACAAAATCAACACAGAACACACCGCTCCCATGCCGAAAGCATGGTCCATTCTGGACCAGGCATGGGGTCGGCGGATTTTGTGGAGGGGTGCATTCCCCTGTTCATCCACCAGTTGTGAATGGGTCATCCTGTTCACGTTAATTACTTCACAGACTTATATAGGGTTAGGCTGGCACAGCGTTTCTGAATCGGGTGGGGTCAATCTTGAGGTTGCTCCAGAAGATCAAAGGGGCTGTCCACCCCAAATGCTTATTGTTTTTGTGAAGCTGCAAGACCTTTTGATTGAACTGCCATTTGCATGTTGAGCATGTAGCTTGTTTGGGCCTCAGGCGTTCGCCGGCACGTGCCGTTTAAGGTACGCTATGTCGCATGGAGTGGGACGCTGTGGCTTCAGAATACTTTGACCGCTTTGGGCGATATCTTGGCGGAAGAGGTATGGAGGCAGGGATGCCAACTCCAAGGCCACCATAAGTCAACCGCGACCTTTGAGAGTCGGAGTTTGAGCTGGTCGCGGCTCTACCAGTGAAATCAACCTGGGCCAACTGTGCCTGAAACGGCCATCCAAACCACAAGGAGAGCACGTGTAAGATCCGGGGGGCTGAGACACCTTTCCGGCCGAGTTTGTTGTTCTTTTTGACTTCAAGATGCCTTGGCTTCAAATGAAGGCGATGTCCCTCCTTCAAGGCCAGCCATGCCTTTGAACCGAAGGAAAGCCCAAGGGCTTGTGGCAATTTGGGAATTTGTGGCTCGCTCTGTTTCAGTTGAAGCTCTTGGGTCCCAACAGGCGCTGCACAAATCGGAGTGCACAAGCTGCACCTCTCAAGGTGAGCGAACCTCGAAACGCTCAAATCAACTCAGCTGCAAAAGAACCTCCTTTTCGGGAATCCGCCAATTGGGGCTTCTCTCTGCGATTTTTCCGCAGGCGTGCAACGCAAGGCCATTGATGCATTGGTCGAATGTCGGCGCAACTCCTTGCAGTTTGAGTGCACCTTTGCTCGGACACTTTCGGGCTGTGCACACTTCTCCAGCCCATAGTGGGTCGCTTGGAGTAGTGGGGAGTGGGGTGCAAGAGCTCTTGCCACACCCAAGGCAAAAGCCAATTCTCTCACACCCCTAGCCACTGGCCATTACTTGCACCTTCTAGCTCAGTTGGGCAGTTGTTTGTTGGCCACGTATTCGTTTAGTATTCGCGTGCAACTTTGTGTGCCGCAGAGGCTCCGCACAGTCAAACTAGCTGGGGCAGTGGGTTCCAGAAGCATGTTTTGCCATATGCAGTCCAAAGAGTAGTTTGCGAAAAGGTATTGGTAGGCGCTGTTGGCGCACTTTGCAGTGACCCCCACCTTGTTTTCTGGCCATTTGATTAGCGGCTTGTAAGGTTGCATTTCGACTCGAGGATCTTGAGACCACCAAACAATCCCCGGGCATGCTATCACATAACCACCACTGAAACCAGACCCAAGGGACATGGCCCTTTAGGAAAAGGCGTCTGAAATCGCAAGAAACCGAAGAAATTCGATCTGCATTCTGTTTCTTCGGTGTTTGGAGGCCTTCGAGGTGCGGGTGGGGCGCTTGGCTGCCTTCGTGGAGCGCTGGAACCACCTGCCCCGGTGGAACCCCAAGGAGCCCAAGGAGGACAGCCATATCGCCGCATGGGCGCCAAATCCGATTGGTAGTATTGGCCCATAGCCAGGGCGATGTCTCGGAAATGGTGGGACATGCTACTTGTACTCACTTTGTTCGATCGCAGGGGTAGCCTTGAATTGAATCTGTGGCCGGAGGGATGTTTCGGAAGCCTATTCAGTTGTCAAGAAGTGTGTTTCGCGTGAGCCCAAGAAAGTGGTTTGCCTGTCGACAGGGCGGACGCAACGCTTGAAGATAAGCCATAGCACGCCACAAGACACAACCCCTCAAGGTCAGAGCAATTTCCCTGGCGGAGCAATCTGGAGAACTCCTTAGGTCCCAGGAGCTGACGCCCGAAGTTTTCTTTTACCTATGAATAGAAAAGGCACGAATCGCTTTTACACTCACAAAGCAAAGTGTCACGCGTCAGGAGGAAAATCCATTGGCATGCCGGGATCTCAGGTTGACAATGACTGAGGTACACGTGCGAGGCACTGCTTGCAGCCTGCGGTGTACAGGCAAGCGCTTAGCTTAACGCCATGACATGCTGCGACCGGGCGTTGCCGGACAACTGCCGGGTAGACATGACTAGTTGGTTTGCAAAGGCAGGGCAAATTGGTTCATTTCTGGGTGAAAGATAAGACCTTCCTTTCCATGAGATTTCCCTAGCAGTGCCACCGTCATTTGCCCACATGACAGCCCGGTGTTTGGACTTGTGTCGCAGGAAATTGGGTGTTAGGCAGCCCTTCTTTGCGATGCCTGCAGGAAGCAGCCCTGCAAGCACTTGGCCCAAGGGCTAGGATGCAAACTTACGCAAACCGCGATGCAAGCCTCTTCCAAGTCTGCAGCCGCCGCTCAAGCTTGTTTGCAATACGCTTCCTCTGGCATCATATCTGAACCTTGGGCGGGGTATACAAATTAATACGCCTTTCATTTGTTTGGCGCACAAAGCCATACACCAAGCCAGAACGCCCGGAAGGCAAATGCGAAAACCCCGGCATGCCGAGAGCCCCCATGGCTTTCTGTGACACATTTCTCAGGCTTTTTGAAGTACATCCGCCAGAGGCTTCGCACGGAAGCAGCTTGGCCAAGCAGTAGCTTCGCGCGAGAGTCAGGCTGGGGCTTGGAATGCTTTCATGACGCTAATGTGGGATGAGCCTCGATGTGTTTGCTATTTCGCGTGGCCAGCGACACAAGCAACCAAACGACATGTTCCCTGAATTTGGCTTCAACCACCTTCCTGCCAGAGGTGATCCCTGATCCACACTGCATGACCAGTGGTTTGCGCTTTTGTTCGCCCAACAGCACCAGCCACCTGATCTTAGCTGATCCATTGCGCAATGGCAGGCCCGGCCATTTCCTGGCTGTTGTTGGGCAAAGTTTGAGAACATGAAACCGTCAAACAAAAAAAAAAGAGACATGGCCAGCCCCTGGTGTTCCGCCTTTCTCCCTCGACAAACTTGGCTGAGGCCCTGAGCGACCAGGACCTCCAGCTCCTGCAGGCCGTGCCGCTCATGGCGGAACGCATGGCCTCCTGGGAGGATCCGGCGTCTCGGCGCAGGATGTGTGGCCGTTTGTCCCTGGTTCGCCAGTGCCAGGGTCCGAGAGCGTTCAGCCGTTTTCTCGGGTCTCTGGGCCAATGGGATATCCTTGAGCTCTTGAAGTTCTCCTCGTCCAAAGCTATAGAATCGAGATGGCTTAACTCTCGTGTTCTGAGTTCGGGTGTGTGTTGCACTGCTGGAAGGGACGTTGGCCAGCGGCACTTGAGCATGTCGACCAGCTGTCCGAGCGGCCTGTTTTCACACAGCTGCTACGGCAGTTCGTGGTTTTCCTTTGGTTTCCCTTTGCAACGGTAGGTTCCCTCCGAATAAGCGGGAAAAAAAAGCAGGCCCTCGTTTTTTATCCGCTCAACTAGTACATTTGCCACGCCCCCCGGGGGTTTTGAGCAGTTGGCAATGAGAAAGTTGGGGTCTACAACACGGGCAAGCGTGTTTACGCCAGCCCCATTCGACTCTTTTGGTGCCAGGTTGGCCCCAAAGGCGCTAAAGGAACGCAGGCTGAATAGAGCTGGTTGATGTAAGGCATGCGGCTGTCCATTATGGATCTATCAGGGGCGCTTGTTGTTGCCTTCTTGCCAGGCCAAAATATAGAATGCCCGGCTTAAGCGGACCATTTGCGGAGCCATCGATCAGCCCGAGGCGTTTGTCGTGTTTTTCCAGATGTGCATCCGAAGGCGACTGGGCGTCTAAAGCCTTTTCGCCCTGCCTTCAGGTGGAACACAACATGGACTGGTCAGACAGATGCTCCCTGCTCGCCCGATTCCAGGTGAGGGTGGGGGGGCGGGGGCGAAGCATCCTCGCTTTTGAGTTTCTGGGCTTCCCAGAATGAATCAGCCTTAGCAGAAGTTGATGTGAAGCCTGCTTTGTACAATGTGTGTGTATGTGTGGTTGATTCACTTGGGAGTGTCACCGCTGCTGCACATTGACATTATGTTTCTTCAGCTGGGGTGGGAAATCACGATCATAGTCAAACGAAGATTGACAAGAACTTCCGTAGTACTGGAATTAAATGGGTTCTGCCTGTTTGAGAATATGTATGCGCTGTGCGTGGAAAATGTGCATTTGTGCTTTTCACTTGTTGTGGGGTAAAGAAAGAAGAGATGGAGAGAGGGAGAGAGAGAGAGAGAGAGCAAGAGAGATGAAACACGCTGAACGAAAGATAAAGAGAAGAAAATAAGAAAACAAAAGAAAAGATAAAGAAGGGTAAATCGAAAGAGAAAGACAGAGAAACGAGAGGAAAGGAGAAAGCAAGGCTAACAGAAAGACAAAGAGAACGAGAAAGAATAACGAGAAAGAGAGAGAGAGAGAGAGAATGGGAGACAAGAAAAGAGAAGGTGACAGAGAAAGAGACGGAGAGCGAGAGAGCGGAAAAGCACAGACAAACACAACAGATAGAGCGAGAGAGAGAGAGAGAGAGATAGGGAGCAAGAGAGATGGTGAGAGACAGAAAAGTAGAGAGAGCGAGAGAGAGTGAGAGAGAGACGAAGGAGAGAGGGCAACAACGTCGCTCAATTGACATCTTTGACGACTACGGGTAAGCCAAAATTCATTCCAAACGCACTTAGAGAAAACTCCTGAAGCTAGGACAGAAGAGGCTTTGGCCGGTGCTAGCACTTGCCAGGCGCAGCATCGGCGACTGCCAGGGCCAAAAAATGGCGAGCAGGAGAGGTACTTGTACTACTGGCTGGCAGAGGTGGGCGCTGCGAGAGGCAAACACGCTCGCATGGAACAGAGAACATAGGCTTCTGAGCGGGAGCGCACGAATCTGGCCCACGCTGATAGGTTGGGCCAAAAACGGCCCTTTCCAGATCTTCATTTTCCTTTGGCCCTTTCTTTCAACTCCGCCGTGTTTGCTCTTACTGGACCTGTAGCGCCCCATAAGCTTGAGGCACTGAGCTTAGTGCACCTGGACTCAGAACCGAGGGGCCAGCCTGCCAGCATGCGCACGAGGTGCCATTGATGTTCAGGGCTATTTCGTTGCATAGAGATTAGTCTCTATGTTTCGGCACATGCTCCGAAGTGTTCGTGTGGGTACTTGTGTCTTCGTGTTTGTGCGTTTGTTTATGTGTTCGTTTGTTTGTGTCCGTGTCTTTTTGTTTGCGCCATGGTGTTTTCCCTCACAAATCTGAACACATGAAGATAGATGTGTACTGGGGGCACCTACTTCACGAGGTGGGGCGGAGCTTCCGGAGCGGGAAGCTGAGCGAGGAGCAGATCGAGGCCTTGGAGAAAGTGCCGGGCATGCGGAAGAAGATGCAGCGCCTCGGCACGTTTGGCGATTTGGAGTCCAAGCTGCCCCATGGGGCCCTGAAGGCGGCATCCAAACAACCGGACCCAAACAGGGTTTACGGAGATGCCGTTGCAGATCTCAGTAGGATTCTTGCTTTGGTCGACAGTCTTTTGCTTCTAAGGAAATCCCCCTAAATATAAAAACAAAAACAGCTTGCGGATGTTTTAAGAAGGGCTGAGCGTTAGGCCTGGGTGAAAGGAGCGAAAAGGTGGACGACTGATGTGGCCTGTGATGTCCCGTCGTTAAGCATCAAGGCCCGTTTCTTTGAGGCAGGGATTAGGCCGCACAATCCCTGCTTAAGACCTGCTGGCGGCTTCAGCAGCTGCGGCACTCGCAAAGGGCATAGGGTCCCTTCTGTCAGGAAGGTGAACAATCACAACTTGCCGACGGACCTAGACTCGAATGACAGGGCATAGATAAAGGCTTCAAAGTAAACTCACCAAAGGATAGACAACGACATCCAAAGCCGCGAATGATCCCCAAACGAAATCGGAAAGGACATCAAACTCAACCCAAAACTGCCAACATCTCCTGGAGCCTCAAACCATTTTACAGGTTGGATCGAGAGCGCAACCTACAATTTCGTCTGAAGCCAAAGTGACAGACGGTTGTGAACCCGCAGAAGCCAGCTTGGTGCATCAACAAACTTGGTCTCTCAAGGCTTGGCTCTCAGAATGGGTTGTCATGACCAAGCAATGGGCGTTGCTGATTTTTGTAAACCCCGCCCCCCCTGCCCCCCAAGGTCTGCCTTGGACCCTCTTGATTCTCGCATTGGATCTCAGGCGCTGGGACCTCTCCCGCTTGAAGCTGCAGGCCGCGGCCATGGCATGCTCAGCACTCACGACGAGAGCATGTGCTCTTGCGTCGCCTGTTTGGCACAAAATTCAGGTATCCCTTAGCTACCGTTGAACTCGTTTGCTTTCCCCGCTTAAGCCTAGAGGCTTTGCCGGTGTCCCGCTGCCAGGGCTTGCGTTGAGGAACATGGGTGCCCTTGAAGTCACAGGGGCCTGCCTTCTGTCACACCGCTCTTGTGGAAGGGTCACGCCCATTTCCCAATTAGTTCTGCAGCTCCTTGGCAATTCTGCTGGAGCAGACTTGTCGCTTGGTTGGGCACCTCAAGGAGACATAAGTTCACGAGGATGCATTGGAATGGCGCGGAGCAAGGCTCATTTGTTTGTTGCCCAACACGACCTTTCAGAGCCCAGCGGCAGGTTACGCTGCCAAACATCAGGCGATTGGTTTGATGGGAAGTGTTGGACTGTGGCGTGTGGAGCATTGGTACCCCCTTGCTTACTCTTGCTGGTGCGAGGTCCAGCAGATGGATTGGTCTCAAGGCTGCAAAGAGCTGGAGGAATGGCTCCAGGTTGAAGATCGCAGCTTGGCAGTAAGTCGACCGGGGGAAGGATGTCTCCTGGCTTGGAGGAAATGAGTACAGAAACAAAGCCGTCGGCTTGTGGGTGATTCAGAAGATACCTCAGGCCCAAGCTAAATTCACTCCGACGGCAGCCGGGAAAACGCTCAGTTGTTTTCCTGTTTCCCAAAAGGGAAACATCATGTTTGTCACAAGCAGGCTGGTCGGAGATGCGGGCACTGGTGGTGGGTTGCTTAGTCCATTTCCTGGTTGCTTGCTTGCCTGCCTGTTTGCCTGCCTGCTTGCTTGCTTGCGTGTTTGCTTGGGTGGATATTTCTTTGGTTGGTTGTTTGGCGGTCCGGTGGCTTAGTGGTTGCGAGATTGACTGAGTGGGTAGGTGGGAGCGCAATTAGTTTGAATATTGGCTGACTGACTAGTTGCCTAATTGAAATTTGTCACACTGCCAAGAGCTGGTGTGTGGAAGATCTTGGGGCTGTGATATATGAAAGGGTTTTGCGAGATTTCCAAATGGAAGACCCTTGGCGACGATGTTTCGTTTGGTAGCTAGGTTTGTTCACAGCAAGCATTTGAGAAAACACATGTGCTGCTTTCCATTATGCAGGGTCTACACTTATTGACGCAAACACATGCGGATTACTTTGTCATACCTCAGCAGGCAAACATGGGTCAACTTGCGTTGTGAGGCTGTTTGTTGTTTCATCATGCGCATGTTGGGCAGTTGGCTTGCACTGCATAGAGTTTGCAGCTAGCCTCGCAAAGTGACAGCCTGTGCTTTTTGTTTGCATGTGTGGTTTTGGTTCACGCCTATGTTTGATTCACGTGTTTGCAGCTTATTCTTGGATCATCGTGGGGGGATCCCCACAAGACCTAAGTCCCCAGTTTGACAGACCCTGGCAGAAGTAGTTTGCCAAAATGTGCATCATCCACTCGGCCGGGCATTTGAAGGTATAGTTTGGATCCTGCCTAGTGGAAAGATCCATGTGACTCAGTGGCGGTGGATCGTAGTCCTTTTTGTTTGGGCAGCAGGGATGGGTGTGCGCCCCGGCCGAAGGAATGCCCAGGGAGTCGGGGAACCACTCAGAGCAGATTCTGGGCTTGTGGCTCCGTGGCGCGAGGATTCCATGGTTTTTCGCCGTTTGGTTTGTTCTCAAAAGGGGGGCCGCCGCAAATGCTTTGTTCACCGTATTTCCTTGTAGGAGCCACCAGTTCGCTAAAAGCAATGTTTAGCGCATTCAAGAGCCACTTCCTGCTTTGCGGACAACTCTCAACCACATCACTAAACACCCTAAAACACTAAACTTGAACCCTAAGCAACCTAAACCCTCAACACGAAGAAAGAACGCGTTCAACGCCCTAACGCAAACCCCAAATGCCCTAAACCCTAAACCTTAAGTCCAAAACAACTGAATCCAAACCCTAAACATCAATCCTACATGTTGTCCAAATGTTGACTCATCCCCTTCGCCTCCCACTGATTTGGGAGACAGAAGCCTAAGGTTTTTCAGCCCGTTAAGTGGCAAAACACCCTGAACCTTAATCTTGAACAAGAGAACTCGTAGGCAACGCATAGGTTTTGTGGGCAATGGTGCGCAGAGCTCCGAGTTGGACCCCCTGGCCCATTCCGTTCTTGTGTAGGGCTATGTAGGGCTACTCCAGGTTACAAGACATCAACTCAAGACCAAAGGTTCAACAAATGTTTGGTGTCCCTTTTGTGTTCCTTTACCAGCAGCTACTTGTGTACCTTTGGCAATTTGGAGTAGGGCTTCGCGAACACTTTCGAGATGCGCTTGCTTTGGCCCTTGGATGAACAAATGTACTTTTCAATCGGCGGGTTGAAGTTGCAAGAGGGAGAGTCCGCCCCAACCTTCAAGCCAACAAACCAGGTTTAGGGTAGTCAAGTGGCAGTGGGAGGAAAAATGCACAATTGCAAGGCACGCAAGCACAATGAAGGGTTCTCAAAAGACCCGGACGGGATGGTCCCAAAAAGTCTTCGCGTGCCATGATAGGATTTGAGCCTGTACATGGAAGAATGGATGTATTTTAACCCTCGGCGACAAGTGCAGTTTGCCATGTGAATTCATAGGCGCAAGGTTGTATTCAAACATACGTTGCCTTCAGTTTAGCATGCGGCGGACTCTTTGGTCCAAAAGCTGGTCCTTTTCAACTCGCTGCAGAACATTAAAGTGTCACAAACAACAGAGACAAGCACAAGCCTGGTACTTGCAATCAAACAGCTGCCAAAGTGTACTTTCCATACTACGCGTGTACGGAAAAGTTGTTGTACGAGCTGGAACTGCCAAAGTATGTTAAGTACCCCCGGTTACTTGCAAGTTGTGATTCCGCTCCTGTAGGGAGTGCCTGTAGTCATCTATGCGGGCCCTGGTGAGTTCATAGCATTGCACTGTGTGGGGCCCGAAAGGTTCTCTAAATGCCGCTTTGCTTTTGCAACCCGGTTTAGCGGGGATGATGCCCACATATGTTGCATCATTTTGGGGCCAATTTGTTGCGGGGTTGCGGGGCCAAACGCCCATAGGCTTGGGATGTCATTTCTCTCCCATAGGAGCGCCTTCATCACGGGCAACCTCACGGAGCTCCAGGTCCAGCAGCTTCGCGCGGGCCGCGGGATGCTGGAGCAGACCCTCCGGCAGCGTGGCGCAGAGGGTCTGCTGTCGGGGTGGTGTTTCCAGGAAACTGCTTAGCCGCTTTCAAAAACAATTGGCTGGGAGAAAGTTATGACGGACTTGGGGGGCTGTTTCGCACAAGCACGTTGCAGGAGGCATGGGGGCAAGCTTGATCTTAGCTTGCTGGGGGGGGGGGTGAGCTTCAAACAGAACAAACCAACTATACGTTGGGATGTGGTTCCTTAAGATTGCGTCTGCATGGCCCGCATGTGTGAAGTCAAGATGAGTGAAACTGTGGTTCACATTTGAAATTTGATCAACTTAAAGAGAGAAGGTGGGCAACACGCACCCTGCCCCGTCACACCTGGGTAGAGAAAGAAAGCGCCTGCCTTGTTTCATGGCTGACACCTGCGCGACTGCCACACTTGGCCGTGAGGTGCACCCCACCACGCGCGATCATTTGGCCATGAAATTTCAAGGGGGGGCCTTCTCAGAAATGGTTGGCGCGCACAAATCACTATGCAAATGATGTCCGTCAAAGGGGGGGCCAATTCAGACTCATTTGCACCAGGTTTTCTAAACCTGCAAAGGGCAAAAAGCAGCAACACGCTCAGCCCATCGCTTCCAGCGACATCTAGTTCATAAGCTCGCCAGCTAGCTAGGTGGTTGGCACTACTTTGCTGGTTAGTTGGCTTGCGCCCACAAGAAGGTCCACTGAATGGAATATGAATGGAATGGCTTAATGGCACGCCCCGGGTATACAAAGTTTCGCGTGAAGCCTTTTGTTTTGTGCGATTTGTAGAGGGATGAAGCCCCGCTCAGAGAGCAGTCATTTTCCGTGTGTGGGCCCATAGGCTGAGGAGGTGTCAGAATATACCCGTCTTAGGCCTAGGCCCGTTTCCATGCAGAAAGCAATGTCCCCAGTATTTTGTGGGTCCGACGTGCAGCTGGTTCATGATTCCCTTTTCGCTCTCGGAGCCACAGTGCCTTTTTTTGGCCGCGCCGGCCCGCGCGGCAGAAGCTGCCGCGGTGTACATTATTGTTTTTTGATGAGTTGCAGTGGCAGAAGGCTTTGGTCATGAGGCCATGCTTCAGGCAAAGGTTCAGCCAGAGGTGATCAGCTACAACGCGACCATGAGGGCATGTGGGAAGGGTGGGGAATGGCAGAGGGGTTTGGGCATGATGCATCTTGCTGATCGTGGAGCTCTTGGGCTTGATCACCGCGCAGTTGGAACGATTTGGGGCAACGCGCTTTCACTGCAAATGCCCAGCGCATGTGCGCCAATTCGGATTCTCGATTCGCGCATTTTGTCAGTTCGAGTTGTCTTGAAGCATTTGATCTGGCGGACGCAGTCCGGGAGGTGCGGGCATGGGGTGGTGCGGTTCGGGCTCACGCCCGGGTGGGGCGAGCTCTCTGGTGCTCGAGTTGTAACCTTGGGTGGTTCTGGCTCACGCCCGGGTGGCGGGCTCACAACTGCGATTCTCTTGGCCTACGTCAACCCAGGCCCTTTCGGGCCGTTTTTCGGAAACGCTCCGGCTTCGACCCTACCTACCTTGTTTGTTCTAGCTTTTTGGCTGGCAATGACGCCCCTCTCTCTCTCTCTCTCTCTCTTTCTGTGAAAGCCTTGATCATTGTTTCCAGGTGTTGTGGATCACAGGGTCGTGGAGTGTGACGTTTAACAAGTTCACAGGGAATCTGAACCTAGTAGCATGAATTCCGGCATCAATCTGGCCTCGGGACTGGACTGGTCTCACCCACTCATTTGCGTTCAGGATGCCGCCTCGGCCAGCGCCTATTTGATTTAGAGACTTTCTTTGATCTCAATTCTGGCTTCAAGGCCAAGCGTGGGGAAGCTGGGCAGCAGGGCAGCCGGCAAGAAACGAAGCGCGTGACATCCGCTGTGTGAAAGCACTGAAGAGCCACGGCCATAGTCCAGAAAGGGGCACAGCCAAGCAGCAAATCAAAGCACATTGCGGGCAACTTAGAGCAGATGAATGGCCGGCTTCTCTGCGGCCGGCAGGGCTTGGATGGGATGGGTGCACAAGGGCAAGGGGCAAGAGCCCAAAAAACGAAGGGGCTGGCATGTGTGCGCTTGGCCCTGGGGCCCGGGCCACATGCCACAGCTGTCAACTGGTGGCAACCCAAAAACTACGTGTGATTTAAAACCAATATGTTGGGCCGAAGGCCTGCTTTCGCTCCCCGTCACCTTGTCTGGTCCCACACGAGGTGGGAAATCCATTCTGGCCCAGAAGAGTCCTGGATGCAGCACTGCCGCCAGATTGAGCAACTTCCTGCAAAGGCGGTCGCGATGGCCGATGAGGCCGCGGTTGACAGAAAGTTGTTTGCGGCTGGTTCATTGGCTCATTATTGTGTGCTTGCTTGTTTGGTTGACTTCCCGTCTTGGGTGCAAGGGTGTTGCTGCGAAATCTCGGGCCAGCTAACTTTCAGCACTGGCTGTAAGATTGTGATGCCGCTTGCGAAAGCTATTTCCCAAGTCCCAAAGTGAAACCCGCGATTGCGGAGCCTGGGTCCGGTTGGCGTCGGCCCTGTTCTTGAAAATGTGTTTCTGCTTTGGCGTCTCCAACCGATTTTCCTTGCCGTGAGTCAAAGCAACTTGCTGCGAACCCAGGGTACGTCGCACGCTTTGTTTGTTTCATTTCGCGTGAAACTATCAGGGCAACTTGAAGAAAAGGGTAATTGGCTTTTACGCAAACCGTCACTTGCGTCGGGCTGTTAAAAAGGGAGCAAAGTGTGCTATGACGTTGACGTGTTTATCCCTCGCAGGACGTGATGGACGAAGAGTTGGCCATTTGGTTGCGGATCGCCTGCTTCAAGTACCAGAGCCATGGTCGGTTCTGAGGCCAAACCACTACCCCCAATCAAACCGGACCACAATATATTGGTGATGTACCCCAATTGTCCCTTGAGAAGCTCGATCGAGCGTGGTTTGTGTGTAACGGACAGCCTTTTTTGACTTGTGTTCTGCAAGAATCACCCCACCGGGGGAAGAACGACTTAGGCCGTGGTCAAGGTTTTTTTTTCTTGGGGGTGGCTATGCCAAATTCATTTTAGATAAGCAATACTTGCTGAACCCACGGCTTTGCGAGTGGTAGCTTTCGAAAAGGAGCAGCTTTTGCCAACGCACTTGGCATCAGCATCCCTTAGTGCAAGGAGACGCCAGCAGCTGGTACGTCACTCGCCCCTTCTTGGTTATCATCCGCAGGTGTCCCATGATGGATTTTATCAGCTTCAGGCATTCCAACCTGCAAGGCGGTTCTGAGAAGCTTAGCGCATGCAAGTTCACCTGAAACCCAACAAGGGGTCCCCCAAAAAGGCGTGTCCTTTGCAATGCTGGTTTGTTGAGTGCCAGGTGAGGGGCGGCATCAGCGATGCGAATTGGAGCCCCAGGAGCCCCAGGAGCCCCAGGAAGGCCAGTTAACGTGGCCTTGGACCCCTCAAACCTGCGGGCTGTTGGCCGATCCGAGGCTGACATCATGGGGTCACTGGTCTGTTGAAGGGTTTCTGCTTGGACTGCAGTCTGTGGTCACACGTGTTAGGACCCCGGTTTCAAACTGCCTTTGCTTCGCTGGCTGCCGAAATCCAAGGAAGCGGACTCTCTCAGCGGCTCAGCGGGCCGCTTTGGAGCGGATCCCGCAGTTGTGCCAGCGGCTGCAGTCCTTGCGCAAGAAGCCGCTCAGATTGCAACCAGCACGAGAGCTTGATCTTGCTTTGATGCCAAGCAAAAGGCTGCTTGACCCTTTAGCCTTTTCAAGCCACCCGATTCCAATCTAAACCAACCTCATGGTAAACCAGCCCGAAGCTCCAGCTAAACCAAACTTAAACCCAGTCCCAAACCCGCCGCCAAACCAACCCAAAAGGGTTCTGAACCGAACCTCGGCCATCCTAAAGCAAGCCGAAACCAGACCTGAGCAACACCAAGCCGACAGATCAAAAAATGCCCCCGAGCCCCTCAAGCAGCCCACAAGCGAAAAGCAGAAACTACAACTGATGAAACGGTGAAGATATCGACCCGCATTGAGTTTATATTTTGCGCCGCCGTCCTGCAAAAGATTTTGATTGCCAGCGTTTTGTTCTTTTTCAATCCCATTTTGAACAAGTCAACACTCTGGCTATAGTTGATTGTTTGGCAAGCCCCCAGCTCCGGCCCAGGCCCCCAAAGCCACCTTCAGAGCAGTGGGCGGAGCGACTGGCTGACTTCGCTGCTTGGCAAAAGGTGCATCAACGCTTGCCAAAGAAGTCGGGGGACTTGCCCGAGAAGTCGCTGGCGCATTGGCTGGCCAAAAACAAGCGGCAGTATACCAGTGGCAGACTCAGCGCCCTGGCAATGCAGGTGGGGGGCGGAGTTGCGCATTTGGGCCCACTATCAAATTCTGGCATTCTCTAGACCGCAGCATTTTGCTTGCATACAACATTTCCTGATTCTTTCTCGGCTCTCAGTTTGAGTCGGGTTCCAGACGAAAAGCTCTCCAATTTGCTCTCTATGCGCGGGCGCGGTTCCGTTATTGCTCGTGTGTCGGGCAGGCCTGTGCCGGACGCAATTCTTCAAGAAGCAGCAAATCGGTTTTCAAGCAAATAGCAAAGCAGCAGGGTGATCCGGAAGTGATCCAAGGACCTTTTTGTTTTTGTGCTGCGCTGCTATTGGAAGAAGTAATTGTGGACAGAAAAGGAAGCAAGATCTTTCTTCATGATGGACGGAGTGTGATCATGACGCAGGTAGAGAGCAACAGTTCTTGTGCATGTGTCTGATCTACTTGTTTTTCCTTTGGCCCCATCATCCCCCCGTTTCACTTTTGGTGAGGTACTTTTGGACTTAACGCCGTCCTCCTCCGCCGAGGCCCACAACAGATCGACGCTCTTCGGCAGATTCCTGGAGTCTTCGAGCGGTGCCATGGCTTGGGTCGTATGGCTTGGGTCACAAGGTGACCCTCGACATGTGCCCGAATCACCTGGGAAAGCTTGCTTCGCTTTGGCTAGAGGCAGCCCGGTCATCTCAGGAAGCAAATTTGGAGAGAAGTTGTTTGGCCTTTGCCGAGCTCGATCTTGTCTGGAGCGTGTTGCAAAAGTCTTAGCTGAAGCGAGAGTCACGCAAACAAGGGCAATAGTTGAGTATTTTGCAAAGTTTGCAGGGGCTGTACTAACGTGTTGCCGTTGGTGGGCACTTGCTTAACTCAGCGTAAGGGTCCATTTGGGGAACATTTTGGCTCAAGTGGACCCCTTCCAGTTCTTTGATCTGAAGTTTTTCCCCAAATCTCCTTCTCAGAGCCACGCACGTCCCAGTGTACGCGGGCACCTGCGTGGCGCAGGCTAAGGCGAAGGCCCGTGCCTCGATGGAGCGATGCCTCAGAAACTTGGTAAAGCGAGAGGAGGAAGGACGTGGATCTTCTCCAGTGCTGATGAACTGGATCAGGTCCGGCGGAGGACGAGCGATGCAGGAAGAGGACCCCTCGATTGGCAGGTGCCGCTGAGCCCCTAGGGTGGGTGCGGGACCGGGGTCCCGAATTGTTTGTGGCGGGCCTTTGTTTGCGAATCGACGGTTCCTCGTCATCCTCCATGGGGGAACTCCTTCTCACGGAGGAGCTAGAAGCGATTGCAGCCCCGGGATGCCGGGCGGACGCCTAGTTGCAAAATGGCCAAGACCCGCCAAGAGCAGTCCTCGCAGGATGAGGCGGCAATGGTGCTTTACGGGGGCGGGTCCTGACACGGACCCACCGTGGCGGCCTTGATGAACAGGAGATGTCGCCCTGCTTCAATGACAGCACCTTTGGAAGGGCTTTTCAGGACCACACGTTGCCTAGATTTGCCGGCGCTGGTGTTCCCATGCCGTGGTATGCCCGTCGACACCATGGACAACTGACGAATTTTTGACACTGGAGACCTTTACAGGGCCATTGCCGCGCTTGCTGAGGGCTCGGTCTCACACTCTCAAATCCTGGCTGCTAGTGGCAAAAGGGATATGTTTTCTCCCTTTTTGCACCATGGGCCATCTTGATAAAACTTGTGCTGACATTGCATGACAGCCACGTCATGCTATTTCCCTCACATGTCAAGGCTGAGTTCACTACCTGGGCCGATGAGCTAACTCATCCAGACCAGCTTCCCGGTGGGAACCCAGATTTGTTTGTGTGCGAGGAGCGGCTTGATGACGTCGATCTTCTCTTCTTTTCTCCCTGACCACAGTGGTGTGAGGGCACGTGGTGAGGTGGGAGTACTCCCGCTTGCTTGGACTAGCATCAAATCGTCTCCCATCAGCTGCTGAGGGGAGTGGCCCAACTCAACTTAGGCCTATCCCCCCAACTTGTCACCAACCCCATTCACACGGAAAACAGGGATGCTCCGGTTTGAAGTTGTGAATCACCAACGTGGCGTGTTTGCCTTTGTAGAACCCTTTGCTCCGCGATGGTTATTCCCATGCCTCTGCCTCCAAGAATCCACAACCTTCAGAACTTGGCTCCCGGTCTTTATGGCAGACGGCTTTCTTCGCGGACCTTCGTTGTGGTAACTCTGTTGACCTAGGCTGCCTGACCATTTCTTCGCCTTTAGGCTTTCCCCGGTTTAGCCATGTTTGGCTCATGTTTCGTCATGGTTCTGGGAGCCTGGGCAAGGTTGATCTCTTGTTCCGTTTTTTTTGTGCGAGCAAGGCCCACTTTGGCCATTTGATGGTTTGTTCAGTCATCCGGCTGTCAGCAGTGTGACCCTCTAATTGGTCGCGCGCTAGTGTGTGAGAATTAGAGACGTGCTGCTTCTGGCCAGGCTGAACCCCATCCGGCCCATCCCGATCTTCGAGGACCATTTGACCCGAAGCTGGGCTGAAACGTAGGTCGACGTTTTGACGGCCAGGTTTGTTGATTGAGCGTGGCTCCACTGCTTACTCATGCACTTGTGCAATGCCAGTCCGGCCAAGCTACGCCGTGCCCCGCGAGGGCAGGTTTTTGCAACATGCAGGCATTCGGTGGAATGTAGGGGCCGAGTTTGAATTTATTTCCAGTGTCCCAATTAACCCGATGACATCCCGTTTAACACGGCAAACCGCCCTTGCACGGAAAATAGTTGCAGTAGCCGGTGAGCCAGCTGTTATTGACCGGGTGTGCGAAGCTCAGGAATTGAGCTTTGGAGGAAGCAGCACGGTAGCCTGCCCAGTGCAGGTGCCGACAGCCAGGCCCAACCGGAGGGCCGCTGAGAGCATATACCCCCCAGAGCCAAACCTCCTCTTTGGATTCCCTGGAGAGTCGTGACAAGTTCTCCTTTGGTTTCTTGCCTAAGCCCTGCTTCGCATCAGATTCCCGGGTTTGAGGCCTGTTGAACACCTGAGGCCAATGAGCGATTTTTGCCAGGGTCCACGCCCTCACTCCAAACGCCAACTGCTTCCAGCAAACAGAAGTGTTGCCACGGTCTGGGGCGCTTTCGTGCTCGCGGGTAACATCAGGTAGCTATCGTGTCGTGATTTTTGCTCACGTTTTGGGCTTGAAGGTGCTTCAGCGGCAGCAATTTGTTTGCAGATGTTCCACTAGCCTTATGCCGCCACATGGTACGCACTGAATGGCTCTGACAGGATCACGAGAGATATCTCTCCAGAACACTGCGGAGACTGATGGACAGGCTGGCGTGTAGATGGGCCAGCGGGTTCGGCTAGCGTTCAGGATGCGAAAGGTAGAAACCTTTCTTGGAGCCAGGCCGTAGTTCCTTTCCATCGAGGCTTTGGCTTATAAGGATTTGCTTGGTCTATTTGTGCATCTGGCCCATTTGATCTTCAGACTGCATGTTTTGGCCCGGCTGGCTTGAAAGGAGGAAGCGCCGTTCGCTTTGGGAAAGCACCTGGCGCTGTGAACCAGTCAGCCATGGCTGCGATGCTCACAAGGATGTTTATTCCCTCTCCCACTTGGCTCTCAACCACGAAAGGAAGTTCCCTTTTCAGAACTCACAGACAATTCCTTCCTTCCTGTCAAAATGGAACAAGCGGAGGTACAGGTGGTGCCCCCGAAAACGCTCTGCTTCCCCAAAACGGGCGAGGCTACAGCCCGGAGCGGCCAGGCACTTGGACGGCAAGCTTCTGCCGGAGGAGTCTGCGGCCTTGTTGAAGGTCACAGGCGTTAGTGAGCGCTTGGAGGACCAAGTTCAGGGGTCCGACGGTGTCAACAGATGGCTTGAAACATCGCCTAGTGGCCTATAGGCCTGTAGGTAAGCTCCCTCAGTAAGCGATGATGTTTTCATGGAAATATGGAGCATCCTGAATCCTGTTCATTTCTTGACCGGGCGGTCAAAAGCAACCATAGTTGATCATTTGACCGAAAGGAAATAGGAAATCAAAGGGCTGGGTAGGTTTCAATTTGGTCAAGATCCTCTAATTAACGCCTGGGAGGGCAGACTCCTTAAGAAACACTGTCGTGGAAAAATGCGGACAAATTGTTTCAGGCCACTTTCTCGCTTAAGATGATAAAATATTAGAGTAGTCATGTGTGTTTTGTATATATTGGGCTGACTGAGTTTGCACAAGCATGTTGAGAAACGGGCCGGCCATGTTGCATGCATCATGCACACATTGCAGCTCACGAAGCGCCGCAAACACTGAAAGTTGATCTTAGTGGGGTCCTGTTTGGAACTGCTTCAGTGAAGGAGTTGCAGCAAAAACAAGGCGATGGGGCTAGTCGAAGCTGAGTGCGTGGTACGCTAACAGGAGCGCAAGAAGTATTTGCGACGCTGGCAGCAACGCTTGCAGCAGCTCAGCGAGTGGCTTTCGGAGAACGGGGACTTGCTGGAGAACTGGAGCCTTGGGTTGCGGACTTGGAGTTAGGCCCGGATTCTCACAATGGAGAGCCCTCAAGCTTCAAACTCACTCTCATCTCCAAAGCCCGGAGTTCCTTTTCAGTTCTTCAACAAGAGCAATGCTTTCCGAAAGCGTCGGAACGTGTTCAGCAGCGTGCGGTAGCCTCTTGCTCAACTCTCGTGTTGGGGCCCGCAATTCTGGCTTGGCGGCTGGGTCATACAGAGCTACAGCGTGGTTTCGAAAGGGCTCTTCCCCCTTCCTCAAATAGAAGCACCTTCCATGCAGGAAGCATGCTTTGGCATAATTCCAGCAGTCAAGCAGACATGTTTTCTTTTTCACCTTTGCCAGGTATCACAGTTTTAAATTGGTAAAGTATATTAAACTCTAGTATTGGTGAAATGGCGGAACGTTTCGTGTATTCTCTCGCCGCCATATCCGGAGGAAGGGAGTGGTCATTCTTGCAAAGGCCAGAGCGCACATCACTTCCATGTCACCCTGCCGTTCATTGCTCGGCCCCCCCTCCAAATCAAGCATACGTCTCCAAGCTGAGCTCGTTGCCAACTCGTCAAAAGCTCTCTTCATGCAGGAGGGCTTAGGGGGGAGTTCCACATCATCCCAAAATGTTAGGCATTTCCACAGCCGAGCGCTTGCATCAGGAAAAGGTTGCGCTTTGCTCGTTGGGGACAATTGCACATTTGTACATGCGCGATTTGGCAATGTGCAACATGTTTTTCTTTGCCTTAGCCAACTGCACACTGTACGCACGGTGCCTGCAGGTCACACACCTCTAGGCCTCAAAAGCAGGCAAACGCGGCCGCAGCAAATAGGGCTTGCATAGCTAAGGACAAAATTCTCCACGGAGGAGCCTTGCACTTTCTTTCAGCCGCGTGTGACCCCCTGAAATGTGAGGCCCGCATGGGCCAGCCATGCGGGAGGTGAAGAGCAAGGCACAGTGGTAGCCATGGCTGCGCCTTATCAAGAGGGCCTTTCTAGGACCCTCCTTGCCTACATTTACAACGAACAAGTTCTCAGGAAGCCCGAAGTCCAGATTGCATGGGGCTTTGGAGCCTCTTGCGAGCCGGGGATTTGTAGTGTTGATCAATTTGTAAAGGTGTTCATGTGTGCTTGCATGTGAGCATGTGCAGTTTCGAGGACGCCCGAAGTACTAATTCTTTCCAAATGAATGTGAGGTGCTCCGGCATTTGAATGGATTTGGAAGGGACGAGATTGAAACCTTGGATCAATGATGATCAAAGTAGTTCGCTTTCCTGATTGGTTTTGTCCCAGGTTCAGTTGTATGGAGTCGCATTGGGAAGGAATATGCCAGCATGCAATTGACGCAATGCTGGCAGATGGGACCTAAACAACATGGTGCAAAGGCCGCCATATGAGTTTCTAAGTCGCAGTGGTGCCTCAGTTGTGCTGGTCTCCTAGGCCTATTTGGCCGGTGGCCAGCGTGTTTTTGGAATAAACAAAGGGCTGTGGGTGTTTGTGGCCAGCCGCTGTGTGGTGTTCGCTGACGTGCAGGAGCCGCATCTCATGGCGTGGCTGGCCAACCAGCGCCTGCGCTTTCTGGCCATACCCTCGCAGATCTCCACCAAGGAGCTGTCGCAACTCCAGGCGCGTGACTCCAAGAGGATCTCCACTCCTTCGACTTGGCAGTTAACCAAAGAATTGATGGCGGTTGGGGGCTTTGAGGCTCGCGCCATGAACCTGATTTCTGTTTTCTTACGGTCTGAGGGAACTGTTGCAGAACTTGGGGCATTGCCGTCGGCAACATGCCGAGGATGGTGAAGATAGTTCCTTTCACCATGGTCAGTACGCCGAGCCTGAACTCAACGATCAACGATAGTCGAATTGGAACTCTTGCTTGAGATTAGGAGCTTCCCGTTGCTGCGCTTAACGCAAAAAACAGATGCGTGCTGGGGCTTTTCAGTGGGGTTGGCGGCGGCCAGAGCCAGCTGCCATTTGGTTAAGGAGCTTTTACAGCAAAATCAGATTTGCTGCGATTTGCCAACACAAAGTGGGGAGCTCGAGATCCTGCATTGTTGCGGCACGCTCTGGCCGTACATTTCCTTGGCCTTTGAATCCGGCGCCGCCTCGACTCGAAAGTAGGGCCTCCCTTTCAGAACTCAATAGCTGTAGCCCTCACAAGGCTTTGAGAAGCCTAAGGTACTGCAAGCAATGCAAGCAGTTTTCGTCAGCTTTCCGCGTGGATTTGTTCCCGAGGCGCTCCCAGGCTTTGAGAGCTATTGGATGAAGTGGCTGAAGCTAAAGGAGAGATGCTCGCATTGCCCACGAGCTTGGGAAGCGCACGAGCTTGAAAAGGGTGTGGGTCCTTTTGTAGGCAACAACTCTTTGGTTGGCTTTGCAGGTAGCCAGTTGGGCTTCCTCCCAATGGGGGGTCGCAAGACTGAAGAATTTGATCGGTCATTATGGGGTTTTACATCCGTTGCATCCTTAGTGTGGCTGTTCAAGCGTGAAAATGTGCGAGCAGCGCACTTGGACGGTTTGTTGTTTCCTTTTGGGCCCCAAACCGGTAACCCTTGAATCTATAGGTTATCAGCCGTAGGCCCCTAGCTCTAAGCAATGGACGGTTCCCTTGTGCCAGTTGATGGATCCAACATGCCTGTGGATGCTGTCGGAGCTAGCTCCGATAACGCCACCGGCGGCGGTGCGCGAATGTTCGCGCCAAGCGCCAATGCGCAGTATAACCGCACCCTGATGAATTCCCTTCAACTATACAATGCCGCAATCTTTGCTTTTGGGAATGATGCAGCCATTAGGTCTGAAGCCGAAGCCCTGCATCAAGCAGCTGTCACGCATTTGCAAGCGGAAAACCGTGAGGAGCTCCGTGTCGCACAGAATCAGCTGCATGCACACTACGCTGAGTGTGCGCAAGCCCAGTCGCATAGAATTCGTGAATACGAACAGCGAGTGAGCGATGAGTTCATCCAAGAAGTGAACTTCGCTGAAGCTAGGATAAGCCAAGTGTGTGAGGAAAATGCCCAAGCATCGCATGAAGTGGAAACGAGACATAAAACAGCTGAGTTTAGGCAAGCCATTGAATCCATCCTGGCGGAGGCCCAGCAGCTCCTTCATGAGCAAGCCGCCAAACACGCCGATGACACAGCCCGTGTCGAAGCGAAAAACGCCAGGATGATTGACATGATGGCCCACCAAAACGGGCTTCTGCAGGACGAGCTCGATGAGCTGAAGAAGTATCAGAAGCAACACGACCTCCGCGAGGATGGATCGAAGCCAAAAGGGGTACCAAGAGAGGCTAAAAGACACTAAACTACATAGTTTAGAGCCCGAGGCGCTAATGTATATCGCTTTTGTGTTTGAGCCGGTCGAGTAACAAATCTTGGGATCCTGCAGATGGCGCCAAAGGGTCGTTATTCGGCGACTGGGCGTATTGGATGGGCCAGCCGGGTTCCCAAAAATAGCAGCCGAGGCGCGGCGCAATGACAGTTTAAGCCGCAATCGGCTGCGCCGACGCAAGATGACGTCATGCAATTTGCAAGGCCAAGCTCTTGTCAAGCTGGATCTATCCTTGTAGAGAACCCAGTGTCGTATAGGGCGCACCGAGTTCAGTTGCATGAGTGCAAAGCTGTGAGCGCAAGCGGGCAACGCAAGTATTCCTTTAAACTGCAACCTTGGCAGCCAACAAGGTCAAGGGAGGTTAGCTCGCACACCTGCCCTGATAGCTTGTGTCCGAAAAAGGAAGCCCTGGGGTCAATCCACACAATCCTAAGAAAGAATGGCGCGGACATTCTAAACATTTCTAAAGCAACTCGCCCGCCTCATTTGCCTTTAGCTGGTAAGGGCCCGAAAGTGGTTGGGGGCCGTTTCGGCACAGCCATTGTCCGCAATGCGTTTCCTCTTTTCCCACTCTTATCAAGGTACTCGTAAAGGCTTAGGTTCTTTGACTATTGACGCCAGAGCCAAAAGTTATCAACTCTCGCATTGTTTTCTTGGATAGCGCTCAGGCCGTCGGCGCTTTTTCTAATTGCCTTCCACTCTCGCTCTGCGAAAAGGCGCAGCTCAATACAAGGGATTGCTACACAATTCCCGGTTACACATTTGCTCACGATTTGAAATCGGTTTCACAGCCATTTGAGGTTTTCAAAGGGTTCGAAGTTTCAACTCCAAACCCCTCATGGTTGCGTGGACAGGTCTTAGTCGCGTTGAAGCATTTGCGCAAATTCGGGTCGAACGAACGTAAGAGTGGAAGGCTTTAAAGGGTTAACTTGGACACGCGCACGAACGTCTTTTGGGGGGTCGTGCGCCGTTTTTAGCAAATGGCCGCGAAATGGCCGTGAACCCGGGGGCACCAACAGAATGGCCACGAAATTCCGCGAATATCCGTAAATCGGCCGCGAGACCCCCGCAGCTGGCCGTGAAATGTTTTGTGTAAACAAACGAAAATGCGAATTCCAAGGTTCACGAAAGTTCACGCAAGTTCACGCCAAAACACCGTAGTTTAGAGTCTTTTTCACGCAAGTTCACGCAAGTTCACGCGAAAACCATTAAAAGCCGAAAAACAGAATCGGGGGTCGGCAGTCCTGAAATTTCACAAGTTCACGCCCAAAATCGGCCAGCCACAATCCCAGAGATGGCCAATGAACCTTGAGAGCTTGAGGCGCAAGAGCCACGTGAACTTGCCGCTAGAAGTTTGTGAAGCGCGCCTGGGACGAGCGCTGCAAGCCACTGATGACGAAGGGTGCGCTTGTGACCGACTGGAAGAAGTGGAAATTGACGGCTTTGGCTTCTTTTCCGGGCTTTAGTGGAAGCTCCATGCAGGCAATCTTGCCAATCGCATCGTTCCGGAACGCGGAACGGCGGCGCGCAAGCCCCTAAAAATCGTTCGCACGAGTTCAGACAGGTCTGAATTGACCACCGGCTAGACAGTGTGGAGTTCTGTCTGGATTTCTTTTGGCCGTGAAATGGCTGCGAAACCGGGATTTCGTGAATGCGGACATGCAATTCCACAAGTGGACGTGGAACACTCGCGAGGCGCCGAAATGCCTGTAAAACCACTTTCTCAAGGTCAAGAGACGAATCGCCACCCAGTAGCGTGATCAACTGAATGTCCAAGGTTGTCAATACTGTTCCCTAGCATCATGCGTGCCACAAGCGCAGACAAAAACGCGTCACATATTAGGGGCTTTGTAGATGCGTTCTGAAAGTCTTTTCCTGCAAGGGCCCTGTGACAAGGACTGACGTCTTCTTGGGCACGGCGCGACAAAACAAAATTCGAACACTTAGGGTTTCCCCTTCTCGTTTTGGGCCCCGTGAGTTCCCCCGCTGCGCACACTATGTGTTCCCAAACCCTTGGCACACATAGGGGAACCCCTCGGAATCCCTCTTGGCAGATTGCACATGCTAACGGTGAACTCACATTGACTGTTTGCGCAGCCATACACGAACTTTTTACCCAATGCGTCTTGAGCCAGGAAATCACACGTTGAAGCCGGCGCATGCCCAGGGCAAAGCTGCCCTGAACTGCTTTTCTATGGGGCATCGCGATGCAAATGGGGCCCGCCCGCGGTCGCAAATATCACGAAACCAGCAATCATGAGAACTTTCAAAACAGCCCGATATACATTAGAGTCTCTTTTGCGAAGGCGAAAATTAGAGTCTTTTAGCCTCTCTTGGTAGGTGATACCCGAGAGGATTCACCAGAGTTGATGACCGATGACATGAAATCAGCTCGGTCCCAAAGGTCAATGTTGGACCCGTTGTCCATTTCAATATGCGAAGGAAAAGTTGAGGTCGCTTGTTGCCTATGACGGTTATGAGGTTGAATACACCCCCAGCGTAATTCCAACTGCCGAAAGTGATGCACTGCCAGCAGATGCTCGCGATCCGCAAGGACCAGCTGAAAAGCCATCAGGTAGCAGCCGATCCCCGGTAAAAACAAGTGCACCGGCTCCGCCCCTGCAATTCTCTCAGCAGGGTGGCAAGCCCCCTGGCGGTCCGCCACCTGATGATGATGGCGATGGCGAAGGTGATGAAGACGAAGGTGATGGCCTCGGGCCTAACCTCGGTCAAGAAGCCTTCGCCAAAATGTTGATGAAGTTAGTGAAAGGCCACACGAACGACGAAAAGCCCAGAACCCGCGAAAGCGAGACGTTGCGATTCAAGGAGATGCCAACTCCTGAAACGTACCGTGAATGGAAGACATCGGTTCGTGAGGATGTCCGCGCTGCATCTGATCGTCCAGACGAGGCTTGGCCTTGGATCATGGAAGTTTGGTCTGACCGCGAGGACAAGAAGAAGCTGTTGGAAGAGCTCGGTGAACCGGGAAAATTCGTGACTCTAGACACGAAGATTCTCGCAGCGCTCACGCGTTCAGCGAAAGGTGATCTGGCTCAGCGAATCCTGACAGCAAAGGAAGAATGCGCCAAGGAGGGAAAGGCCATGAGAGGAAGGCAGGTCTTGTTTATGTTTGACCAATATTTCAAGACCAGTGAACAAGCCGGAAACCTCTACTCCTTGGAGGACCTGTTGCGCGTCTCGCGACACGGCGAAGGAATCATTGATCTCAAGCGTTTCCTAAACGCTTGGGATTCTGTGATCGCCGGCATGAAAAGGCCGCCAGAAGAAAAGGTGTTGAAAGACATCCTGCTTCGCCAAGTGAGAAGCTGCCCTCTGTTGCGGTACGACATCGACACATATGATCGTTGCCGTGATGATGATCCCAACAAGTCGTACGATTTCCTAATGCGTTGCGTGAGGAATCTAATCGAGAGGGACAGGCTTCGCGAGAACCGAGAGCGCGTGTCCAAAGTCAATGCGAGTAAAGCCCCGACGCCCAAGGCTGGTGCCGCCGCCCCTGAAAAGAGGGACCCCAAGAAAAAGAGCGCACCTATACTAAGCCGAAGGACACCGAGGAAAAGTACTGCTTTGATTTCCAGAAGGGCTCGTGCACGAGGGGGGCAAATTGCCCTTACGCGCACCGCAAGGAGCCGCGAGGACGCTCCGCGACCTGTGGCAGGCCGAGTTCCCCCAAAGGCAATAAGGGAGAGAAAGCACCGTGCTCTTTCTTTGCCCAAGGGAAGTGCACTAGAGGTGACAAATGCAAGTTTAGCCATGCCTCCACGGGCGGCAAATCAGCCGCCGCGGCATCGAGCAACGAGGCCAATGCCAATCCTGCGGCTAAGAAGCGTGCAAACTCACCTAAGCCTAAGCCCAAGGCCAAAGCCGCTGCAGTCTGCGCTAGGTACGCCATGTTCGCAAAGCCGATCAATCCGATTGGAGTGTCATTTGAC